CCACCGCGGCGGCGACGTCGGGGGCGACGATCGGGTTGGTGAAGAACGACCCCGCGCTGGCGGTGTCCGGGTCGGTGGGGTCGGTGACCATGCCCTTGCCGCGCCGCAGGTCGAGCACCGCCTCGCGCGCCGCGGCGACACCGACCCGGACCCCGGGCGCGACGCCGAGGACGCGGGCGAGCTCCCCGTAGCGCACGGGAGCCGAGAGCCCGTCGGTCGTCAGCCGGAATCGCACCGCGAGGACGATCTCGGCGCTCGAGCCCTTGAGCCGACTGGTCCGGTAGGCGAGGCCGAGGTCGGCGGCCGGGACGGTCCGCGTCGTGCCCTCCCGGCGGGAGTACAGGTCGACGTCGACGAGCAGGTCGGCGACCTCGACGCCATAGGCGCCGACGTTCTGCACCGGCGTGGCTCCGGTGCGCCCCGGGATCCCGGACAGGCACTCGAGGCCGCCCAGGCCCGCGGCGACCGTCGCCGCGACGAGCGTGTCCCAGTCCTCGCCGCCCTCGGCGCGCACGACGACCGAGCCGTCGGGTCCCGGCTCGCTGACGGTGTGACCGCGATGGTCGAGCAGCAGTGCGGTGCCGGCGAAGCCGTCGTCACCGACCACGAGGTTCGACCCGCCGCCGACGAGCAGCAGCGGCTCGCCCGCCGCGTCGGCGGCCCGTGCCGCCGCGACGACCTCGTCCTCGGTCGTGGCCCGGACGAGGGTGCGGGCGGGCCCCCCGAGCCCCAGGGTGGTGTGCGGGGCGAGGCGGGTCGCCGCGTCGGCCGTCGCCGATCCCGTCGAGCCGGGACCGCTGGTCGTGACGCTCGAGTGACCCATCACCCCCGACGGTAGCCTCACCGGAATGCCACGACCCATCCAGCACCGCGCCCGCTTCGGTGCCGACGCCGACACCGTGCACGCGACCCTGGTCGACGCCGACTACCTCCGTGCCCGGCTGGCCGAGCTGGGCGGCAAGGACGCGTCCCTGCAGGCGCACGAGGTGAACGGCGACACCGCACGCGTCGCCCTGCGCCAGGGGGTCCCCGTCGAGTTCCTGCCGTCGGTGATCCGCAGCTTCACCGGCGACGACCTCGTGCTCGACCGCGCCGAACGGTGGTCGCCG